CGCTTATAAATCTTGTATCGCCATAAAATGTTCGCCGCCAGAACAATGTGAACGTTGCTGCTGTGTTCATAATTACGGAGATGCATTTAAGTATCGTTAGTGTCTGGGGAACTGTATCCCGTCCTGGCAAGATATTATTAATTGTGAGATTAGATTATTATTTGACGAGCTAATTTCTGCAACAGGCTAGAGAATTTTATTAGATTTATGAGTAAAAAACTTTGTGCATATGTGGATAAGCTGATGCCACGAATAGATATTTTACCCTATAAAATATATTCAAGTTGAATATACTGTCCAGCTGCCTGCCTTAAATCTTTGCCACTGGCTTTTAAAGTCGAAGTTTAATGTTGAGCCTGTTTAATTGTGTAATGTATTATATTTATCTCATTTCGCCTGTCTTGCGCTAGCCTTTTATCCAAGTAGGAGTTAGTATCTCTTAATTTTAGATGTATAATGTAAATAAGTTTCGTCAAATTTCCTATGGCCTGCTATTTTTCATTTTAGCAGATTTCTCGCCGGCTGACGAGGTGTCCTCAGTCAACGGCGGAATGATCCGAGGCGAGTTACACCCGTGCGTGGCTGGAAGGCATGTATGTATATAGGGTCTCGTCATGCTGATCTTGTCGCGATATCTCTTGTTGAACGTGTAACTCTGAATCTGAATAAAGAATTTCCAATGGCTGCCTGAACAAAATTTCTGAACCAAACTAGAACAAAAAAGTGACCCGACTACAGCCTCTACATTATCTCGTTATTTATAATACTGTATTAACTTATTTTCTTTGTTTTGTAACTCTTGCCACCTCCCTACATCGATTGTTCAACGCTGCTCGCCTCCAACACGACAAAGCTTCCTCCGGGGCCCTTGGGGCCCTTGTTATTCTCAACTGGAATTGGCCGGCAATCTGAGGTGCTGGTGAAGAGATCGCCCGCTCCAGGCGCCAACTTGAGACAAGCTTTGCCGCAACTTTTGAGTTCGACTCTCAAATGCGACGAACTTTGACGAACAAAAGAAGCGACTTGGAGAAAAAAATGTAATCGAAGGAATCAGCAGCGACTCTTGGAAATTGCTTCGGAAACTTATAGCCGATTTCGTTACGATGCAGCGTCGTCGGTGCCGCTCGAAACAAAGGCATATGCAGCTTCCTGGGCTGAGGCGATCGGGGTGACTCAAGAAATGATTGACTTCTTAATTATCAACGCGAGACAATGACCGAGCCCGCGAATTATTTACATAAGTCAAGTATCTGTGCTCCATGCACATGAACTTCTTAATAAAATCATGGTTCAAGCGCATTAATTATTGAGGCAATTTTAGAGTCAGGCGCATCGCTAGTGAATGATTGATATAATTCCGCTGTTGTGCGCCTAGTGCGTGGATTATAATAATCATTTATGCAATTTGTAAGCTACGCACGAGATATCCACATCAAGTTCCCCGGCTTGCACTATTCAGCAGGAAGTCTCTTGCGAGTGAATCTTTATTCATCAATTTATGTTACTCAAGGGAAGAGTATTCTTTGCTTCGAAAGGAAGGAATTTTTAAAAGTAAGATGTTTTTTCGTTTTAATTTTTCTATTGTTGAAAAATATATAGCAACTTGGGCACTTAANAGAGTACCAAGATTGGCGCAGAGAGGCGCGGGTTCGATCCCAGCTCTGTGCGCCAGTTTCTGGTCAGAATCGGCAAGGAGGCCGGGCGGTTAAGCAAAGCAGAAATTGAATCAGTGAGTTGTGAGTTTGAGACCGCAACAAGCTGTAAATATTCTGCGATGTCAAGAATCGGCGACAGGCCTACGGCCTACTAAACGCTGAAACCGCTATATATATAAGAGACCACGTGGAAAATAAAATGTTAAGTTTAAGTTATAAAAGTTAAAGCCGTTTAATTTCGAAGATTCTTTTCACAAGGTCCTAGTCTTGAGAGGTTAAAGTATCACTATAGAGTTCTGCGAAAATGCATATCAGATGGTCCGAGCTAGTATTTTCATTTCCTATGCGATATTGGTAATAAAAAATTGCATCATGCGTCGGCCTAGCGTCATTAGAGGGCATCTCTGTCCTCTGCCCGGTGTAAGGGCAGCCTTACAGCGTTGCATGCAGCAGAGCTACCCTGCATCATATGTTGCTTACGGTCCATTCGAGCTTTCGTGCTGCAAAGCTAAACTCTTAATGCAAGATGTCGCCAGACGATGTATCATTATAACAACTTTTTGGAAGTTTATGGAAGCTTTTAAGGCGAGTGCACGTCTGGTGAGGCTGCATTTCTGCTGCTTTTTTGCCGCTTCTTCCTCGACGTGAGCGCTGGGGTGATGGTCAGCGCTGACACTACCATTCCATCCACACTGCCGTCACCACCAGCAGTCTCAATGACACCAACATAAACGCACGTCTCGGACAATTTTACGACCGGTCTCACGGCCGGTCTCCAAGGAATATCTCCCAAAGTAATGAACGCAGCTCGATTAAACTAGGTAGATGTATGTAACAGTGGACAGGCCACATCAGGCCTACACTTCAGCGCCGAGATCAATATGTTATTAAGACCTAACGGCTACGCTTAGCTCGTGAAAATTTTGTCAATTTCACCTTCATTTGTGAGTTATACGATGAAACGGGCCAAAATTGCTGTGGCCAAGACATTTCTTCTCAACTACTGAACAGATGTGAACGAAACCTTGAATGTACATTTCTAACCACACAGCGGTGATGTTTAGCTCCTGACAACGTTTGCTACTATAATACTATACTATACTATACTATACTATACTATACTATACTATACTATACTATACTATACTATACTATACTATACTATACTATACTCTAATTAGTCTAATATCATCTTAGTATCATCATCATCTAACGAAGATTAGCATAATTTCTTTACTTTTTTTCTTCGAAAATTTGTTGATATTTTCTGGAAATTTTTGAAATGTTTGGACCAAAGTTACTGCAATTCTGGGCAAATGTTGTCAGGATATTGTAAAATAGCCCTATTTAAAAATAGAAAGAAAACTGCCTCGATAAATTTAAAATACATGAAGCAATGGAATATACGATGTTATTATGCACTTCCCTTTCAGTAACTCATAAATAATAATTTGAGTTGATAATCAAAGTGTCTTGTTGATAAATTTTACGACTTTCTCATTGTGATGAAGGATCCGCACTGGAGTGGTCGAACATGCACTTATCAAAACTTCATTATCATCAACCATCTAGCCAGAAGTGCTACCCATCCAGTAATGCATGAACTTTGTCGATAACTCATCACATGATCATAGTACAGTACAACGAAACTTTTTTCTAACTTTTGGCCAACGTAGCACTTAAAGTGCCAATCTTACTATAGCTGACGAAACAAAACAGTGCCTCAACTGCCATCGAAAACACAGGTTAATCGACGTCAACTGCCCATGCAGGAAAACGGTCATCATAAACAAACAAAAAACAGCACTAGTCAAGAAAATTCAGAAAACCCATCAAACATAGGTTAAATAGCCAAAAATTCAATACAATAAACCAACGTCCCCAAACAAGCAGAGCCTCACTCTCACAAACACCACACAAATCAAAATTAAATGAAATATACGAAACGCACATTGTCAGCTTCATTATATCGGAAATACGCTGGTGCTGACGCTGGTGCTGACGCTGGTGCTGACGCTGGTGCTGACGCTGGTGCTGACGCTGGTGCTGACGCTGGTGCTGACGCTGGTGCTAACGTTGGCGCTTGGCAGCACAACATTTTAACAAGGTCTTCAAGATCAAGCTATAAAAAATTCATAGATTGAATTTAATTAACGTACTTAGTTGATCAGCTTTGAAGCATTCGCCATTGATGAAAGTGGAAATTCATTGTTATTTTAGTTACTAATCGTGTATTTATCTGCTATTCAGAGGATTTGTGGTAAATTATAATGGTTTTTGCTGATTTTGGTTCTGGTTACAAATTATTAGATGGCTTCACTCGTGCTCATGCATATATTTTTTGTTAACACTGTTCTCCATTGGACTGATTTATTCAAATAACGACAGTAATATAGAACTTTTCACTGTGCTCTAATATTATGCTACGAGTGCTTCGTACTGAACGAGGAAATTTTTCATTTGCATGCTAAATTTTAAACCATTGCCTGCCGTATATTCTAGCTTCATATTGCGCGCACTCCACTGTAAATATTAAACTAATTATTATTTTCGTTTACACAGCCTTTTATTTTATGGTAGGTCGCAAATATTATCGTTGGAGTGTGAAGAATAAATAAATACACGAGTGTCGTCCGCTGCTCGCTGGACACGTGAGCCTTGAACTGAACGTCGTGGGGGGATTTTTACTCTGATGTAAAGTTGGTCGAATAAAGTTAGTCGAATAAAAAAAATCTGATTTTCCGATCGAATATTTAATATAGACTTCTTCACGATTCAACCGTGCGATTTATGTGCGCTTTTCCGTAACGAAAAATCAGTTCTTCTGCACATGTACCTTTGCCTATTATATATAATTTTACATTCACTTTGTCTCTTATATAGAATAAAATTTATTATATATAATAGAGCCGAGTAACTCAAATTATGTCGGAGAATGCGGCCTAGATTTTTTGTTAGTTTTACTTGGTCTCCAAATGCTGGCGGTAGTGTGCAGAAGTATATGAGGAAAATAACTCAAATATATTTGACTTATAGTCAAAACCACTCGTGCTGCCGAAACGGCCATGACTGCTGGCGCTGCTGCATCATAAAGAAGCGAACACCAACCCCTTGAACAACCTCTAAAACTGGCATTTTTATCAATTAAAATACAAATTAATTTTAAAAGTTTTGCAAGAAAAACGATAACAAAGAGGCTGCAGGGTTCTGTTTCTGTCTGAATAAATGTTCAATTTTGGGTCCCCTTTTTCAGCTGACGCCCACCAAAACGTGCAGTGTTGAATTTGAATATCGAGCTGGGATGAGACGTCTGGGATCAGACGTCTCATTTAACAAGCGGTTTGAAGGTAACGATAATTATTACAATGAAATGATGCAGGTAATGATAATTATTACGGAAGCTGATATAATCAAGCCACTTTTACGCTAACGTAACAAAATTCATAGCTATATTACTTGAAGGGAAATCCGTTGCTAAAGGAGGTCACATTCAAAGTGACTTCTACAGAATTATCCCGATGACTACCGCGAATCCTGATCACATGTTAATTAAATAAAGAAGGAAATCGAAAAACTGACAGCTCAATTTTTTAGACGTTGTTGCCAATATAAATTCATTTTAAAAGTTTTCGTAAAACTTACACTATGATAGAAGTATAGTACAATCATAATTTCACCTAATAGGCTTTTTATACGTGCCCTAGCATCTTTATGTGCTAAATTTTGAAAATTCAAGCAGTTTGCACTCGGAAAAAATTGAGATATACATGCATAATTGCTTATAACTATAACAACCGTTTCATGTAAGATTTAATAAACATAATACAACCGAAACCTTTGGTCTAAATGCTGTTCAAAACTATTCATTATTTTAAAGCCTCTCATGATTCCAAATCGTTGCCCTCTTTGCATAACTCAATAAATTTCACGAATACATTGTCAATGTTGCTCCTTCCTGCGCTAGCAATGTCTTCGTAAAAGGAATAATTACTGAGAACTCACGATCGGGTTCTCACAGTGCCCCGTATTGATCCAGGTTCTATAAACTCTGTTTTAGAGAGTGGCCAAGTCCCAAAGTCTCAGGGCTGTAAAGTCTCAAAGCGGTATATATCCGTGCTCGGTATATACCGCTTATCGGTTTGTGGTTTTAAAACGCGCGGTCTTAAGGTGGCCATCTCTTTTCGTTCTTTTATCGTTTAGGTCTGCCGTTCTCAAGAATCGCCGAGCGATAACAACTGAGTAATTTAAAACGTATACATCTCCTTATGTCTCCAACATCGCTTCTATGGGACGTATTATTATCCGTATTAGTAATCCCCGTTTCGGCATATATGTTTATAAAAATTACTTATGGGTGGTCAATATCCAATACAATTAGGATCATTGATAAATGTTCGTTATACACGCCATTGTAGTCTAAATGTTACACACGTGAAAATCTCAGAAATTTATACGAGTCGCACGATCCATAAATATTAGTGCACAAAATTTTCTCACCATGAATGCTTCCATACATGGTATATTTATTTGTATTGTTGTGCATTGATTGCAAATAAGCACGCGGAGAAGCAAGAGATTTCCAGAGTGCTATCTCATTTATGAGTGAAGCTGGTGTGATCCTTCTGAGTGAAGGAATATAGTTAGTTAAATGGTGTCAGAGATCTCGCGCAGTGAAACAGGGCTTTAACGAGAAAACTATATGCTGCTGAAGTCTTTACGTTTCTACGGAAACCATAAATGTGTGAAACAACAGCTCAACAAGTCTGGTTTGAACTCGTGCCTCCCCTGCTTACCTCTGTGTTTAATGCCATACTATCGTCATTTGGTTCCTATTTCTGCTATTAGTAGAGGTTCTAGAACCTCTCTCAAGTGCTCTGATCTAAGACTGCGGCTCCACACGCTGGTTCAACAAGCAGATTCAAACGCTCTTTTTGCAAGCTAGTACCATACGCTTGTTTAATACATTGTTTCAACATAATAGTTCAGTAAGCTGGTTCGACACGCTGTTTCAACATGCTGTTCGTTCCCATAGCCAGCTTAACATATCGGCACAGGCGCGTGACAGACCGCGTTGATTCCTGTGGCACAGAGCGAGTTCTGGATCTTCTGGTTGACCACCACAGCACACATCCAGTACATGTCGGGGTCCGGGTAGGTGGCGTTCCAGTCAGCGGCGGCAACCGCAACCTGGATGGTGCCTGTGCGGAATATGGTGCTCTTCCAAGCCCAGGAACCTGAGCGGTTCACGTAGCCGATGAAGAACGCGCCCCGGCTTTGCACTGCTCAAAAAATGTACGAATCTAAGCACACCTTGCGCATATAATTAAAAAATACCGTTTGCATTGGATGGTGTTATATAATTTGATATTCATCGAAAGGGTCTCAACATTGCCCGAAGTCCTCGCTGATAGGCCGGATATTTCAGCCTATCACCCGACGTTTCGGTTAACAAACAGTAAAGGCTCGGTACAAACTTGACTTCCGGGAGTAGAAAGACCTTCTACTCACCGGAAGTCTCAGCGAGCAAGGCGGTGAAGTCTGTGTACACGAGAGGAGCGAACAGGTCCATGCCCAGCGCGCGGCACGCAGTCTTGGCGCCCACGAAGGAGTAGTTCGCAGCCAAGTCCTTGAGGCAGCCGGCAGTGGTGGCCGACTTGGAGCTGTCACAGCAGGTGATGGGAGGCGCCGGCACTGAGGGCAAAACAGAGGGGTAGAGCTAATGTACTGGAGGTTGAAGAGAAGTAAGAAGGTCTTGTTGCTTTTCGTTGATATGAGATATTTCATGAGAATTACCTACTTTTCTTGACACTTAATCTCGGGTGAAATGAGCATTTTATGGAATATTAGACGACTTGGAAGAATCGTAACTAGTAAGATTTATGATATATTGATAGTTCAGTTATAGTGATTTGATTCAAAGTTTCACTGAATGTTTTTACCATGAAAATCAGACAGCTACCGCAGAAGATAACATATGAAACGCTGAGTTATCATACGCATATCTCATGTTAAGCACAGCCAAATGGATTGTGCAATGCCTTCACCCATTCATAGGCTTACTTTAACTTTACTTACACAAACTATTTCTATTAAAATTATTTACTTAGACCATTGATGATGTTATTTTCTGCAAGGAGGACAGAGATGAAGCCTAAGACTCACGGTTGGATTCAAGACCCGAGGGCCGACAGACGAAGCCACAGCCGGGCTCGGGGCTGTAGGAGGCGTACATCGGCACCGTCGTCGCGTCGGGCAGCACGCACTGCTGGATCCCTGGCACACCATGCGAACAATGTTACCTGCCTCACTTTAAGATAGTGTAAACTTATTTTGAACATCTCAACTAAGAATATGCTACCTTTGACTTAATACTTAATACTTGAGTGCAGAGTTAGGTATTATTCAAGGATCTAAATGCTTCCGTTGTGGGTATGGGATGAAGTGAATAATGTTTTTTGCAGGGCTACAATGTTGTTGCAGCAGCAAGAAAAAAATCCGTATATTTGTATTCAATTTGGCTCACCTGAGGTCAGGCATGACCAGCCAGCTGTTTGCGGACCAGAGACCAGGAAGAACTGGTCTGCAGCCAGGACGATGCACTCGGAGGAAGACTGACATATGATGGTATCAGTGGTCTGCATCATGCCTATGGCCCCGCATTGTACGACTGAGGTGCGAGGCCATGCGACAGCTGAGGACAGCTTGCGCATGGCAGGCACATCTACTTCGATGTGACGCCACATCTCGACTTTGTTGGAAATAGAACCCGCAGCCAGCGGCTCTTGAAGCACAAGTGACGTAACCACGAGCAGCACGTAGAGCTTGAACATCTTCGGTCGTTCTATAAAATAATGAATCGGAAATTATAAGCAGTTTGACTGAGAGCAATCATTAGAAAAATTGCACCTATGGCTCATACAACGGACAAACGGAAAGAAGCGCGAAATAAAATTTTCTTAGGCTTATAAAAGAGATGAAACAAGAAATCAATAAAAAATTATTAACATGTATTCACTCATTCCAAATTTACAGTAAAGGGCAATGACGTTGTTTACGACGTTGTTTACTTGAACGGCAATCAATTGTTTATCATCATGTTTTGGCCCCAACACACTTGATAGCAACTAATTTCACAAAATTATTAGCTGACGCAGAAAATGGATGACAACCATAATAGCTCACAAATGCTCTTGTACCGGAATATTAAAAAAATTGCGTTTGAATATTTCAATGTATTTATTCAATACATGATTCAAGTCAAGGGTTTCAATTTTATCAACAGGCGCTGCAAGCCTAGAGCAGTCTAAAGATTATAATTAATTATAAAAAAATGCCGGCAAAAGCAGTTGAGTTTTAAAAATTTTCTAGATGCGCGCTAATAATTGTGGACGGATTGAATTTGAGCAATTAATTCTTCCAGTCCAGGAAATAGAAAACTTTGAAAGCATTTTCCGCTTTACCGAACTAACGGTGGCTCGCCACTAGTTTCTGTTAATTTAGTCTGCTCGGGGTCATCACAGAATTTAAGCGAACCAGAAATCACAATGTTTATAAAATGCGTTTCATCGCCAGAAGCCACAAAAGTTCATGCAATTTGCGAAAAGTTTTGAGGGAATAATTGTCTTATGCGGCCGGCCACCCTGTCATTACTAATGATAGCCTCAGAAGTTGTGGCCGGAACGGACGAGCTGGCAACGAAAGAATCAAGCGTGCCATTTGTTTGTGGTGAACATAGCAGAGCACCTCGGCCAATCGATAATGACAAAATATCTTTAATTCAAATTTTTGAAGTCACCGCAGAGAGGCACATAACTTTATTGCAGAGACATGCGCTTATAATTTAAGAGATGTGCAGCGTATAATTGCCGAGACGTGCATCGCATTATTGCCGAGACTTGCATCGCATTATTGCCGAGACTTGCATCGCATTATTGCCGAGACGAGCATCGCATTATTGCCGAGACGTTTACATCGCATTATTGCCGAGACGTGCATCGCATTATTGCCGAGACTTGCATCGCATTATTGCCGAGACGTGCATCGCATTTTGCACTACGTTTGCACTACATTATTGCAGAGACACTCGCCGCATAATTACAAAGGCACGCATGCATTATTACAGAGAATTGGCACCAATGCCTTCATTCACATTGCATTATTTCTCTCAATTCACAATTCATTAGTTGCAGCAGCATATGAGATGATTGACTGCATTAATTATTTTTTGATTTATAAATGCATAGGCGAACGCCTTCTGACAATTGAAGATGTATTAGCTTCATAGAAAATAAATTCACAATACGCTTGCATGAATACATATTCTCTCGAGAATTTAATAATAAAAATGCGATTGATGGCATAATTAGTTTCGGTCTGCGGCATTTCGCCGGTGTCTTAAGTGGACGATATTTGTAAATGTGAATTTAATTTCGAGGAAAGATTTGAAAAGGCTTTTACAAAAAGTGTAAAATTTAAATATCTGTTTGGATAGCAATAGTTTTTAATGTCAGAACACCTTTATGATAAAAAAACTAGAATGCAAAATCTCAAAACGAAAAGACATGAAAATAATGACATAAATATTAGACTGTGAGTTAAATACCACAAGAGTGTCGACTAATGAATCGAAAAGTAATATGTCAAATGGAAATGTTAAAGTTAAATAGATTTTTAGTTTAAAGACATTTTCCTTACTAAACATTTCTTTGCACTTCATTTACATATTTTTCAGACAGGAAATTTTAGAAGGACACGAGAAAATTTTTTTTGCTCATGTGACTCTTGTGAGAAATTCACGATCGTCCTTTAAATTCACGCAAAACTTATTACGAATGCAACGAGATTAATGGGCAAAGAAGATTATTTGCATCCCAGCTTGAGGATCAGTATGAACGATTAAGTGAATTTCAACCGCATGAATTGAACGAAAACTTATTTAATGTATAGAGTAAAACTTAACCTTCACGCACTGGTAGCGAGACTACGACCGGAAGACATTTATCCAACATTACTTGGATTTACGATGTCGTTGTCTCCGGCATTGCAACAATTTGATCAGCTATTTTATCATAAAATTAATGTAATAGAGTAATTTAATACGTGAAAATAACCTCAAATTTTTTCTTTCTTATAAATAATATTTTTATTCGAGTTTAGTGCACTCACTGCCATCAGAGACATTCCTCTGCTCTTAAGTCATTATTTTTCACGTGATGGTTCTTCGCAACTTTATTTCCCAAATTATCATATTTTATTGAAATTTTTTTCAATAGATTTCCTTTATCTCCCAAATTATCATATTTTATAGACATTTCCTCCACCCCTTTAGGAAACGAGACTGAGATCGATCCTTAGAGGCATCATCGCTCAAAGAAATGTCGCTCAACAATGAAAAATAATTAAAACACGTTTATTTGAATACTATTTAAGTGACTTACACATTCTAGAATCATCTTGCTAGTTGCAATATAAGTGAGCATGTGGTGACAGTAGCAGGTAGGTTGGACGGATAAGTATCAAGACCTGATATTAGCGAGCTTGTAGTGACAGAATGACAGAAACAGGAAGGTTGAAAGGATTAGTAGCAGCACCTGATTTTAGCGACATGGTAGTGACAGAAACAGGTAAGTTAAAAGAATGAGTATTTTGCATTAATCAACAAATGAGGTCACTCAACAAGCCAAGGAAAGATGTAATATCATCATGTCATACGTCCAACAAATTAAACAATTTTACCAAATGTGTCTAAATTCACAAAATATGATTCAGTGTCAAAATGTGCACGCGTATGCATATCCGATAAAGTATGAAGAGAAAAACAATCAACGTTGAATGCTGCATTGAGGTCAAGCAATACTGCTGCCTTGCTGGCTGTCTGCAACGCACATTAAAAAGTTTCGGCTGAATACAGTAGATTGTTTAGCGAACCAATATCGCAACTTTCAACGGATAAACATTTATATACGAAAAATGTGATTATCAATGCACTCCTTCTAGATAATAATAATCATAAGACCTGTAAATAACTCACGTTAGCGACAGCGGTTGAGTACAGAGGGAACAGCAGTGCTGAGGGCGAGCGTCCGGGCAGAAGTGAGCGCTCGATCACTCGCACAAAACTCCTCGAAAACCGTGGGTAAAACTTCGGGCATCGGGCAGCTCAGGGGCTCATCAATGAACATTATCTCCGTGGCGACCGTCGCGATCAGGCCAAAACATTACGCGATTTTCACCAATTTCTTCGTCATATAGATCACCTGGATATATGCAGTTCATACCGCTGCATACTGGTGTCACTGAGGTATATTCGCGACTATTTTAAATCAGTTACTTCTCATGGATGGCTAAAAAATGGAGTCCCTATTATATAGCGTTTTGGGTTTTTTGTAAAATTTTATTTGTCATTACCTTATCAGCTTTAGGGACATGTATTACNAGCTTGAGGGACATGTAATACAATTTTTCCTCTTTACATTAATATTTTTCTATAAATTTAAATAATTTTCCTTCAGCTGCCTCAGCGAGAATTAACAAAGAATTTTGAAAACATCTTGAAGAAATCCAGTAAGCGAGCACGACGTATGTAGATCGGAACGCGATATGACGTTTCATGCCAAGACCTGACCTTTCGTACTTTGACCGTTCAGGAAAAGTAATGCATTGATGGGTGCAAGAGATATTTTATCATTGATTCATTTCATATTTGACTTATTTCATAACTATAGCAATTCATCATTGGGCATTTCATCACTATAACAATTCATCATAAAGGTTATTTGATGAGAGAAAAAATCTTTCTTATTTTTCATCTCCCCATAAAATTTATCGAAATGAATATTGTAATGCAGTGAATCTGAATCGGTTGATAATAAATTTTCTCTGTGACCGTGCATCGCATTTTTCGTATTAAATAGCGAGAAAATCATATGCCATTTTGAGTTTGGTTTTTGGTTGTGACACGCAATTACGTTTACAGGAAATATATCGAGTGCATCCAATTTTGGTATTCCATCTAAATTCCGCAATTCTTTATCGGTTTTAATCAGACTCTCTAGAAATTTAAAAGCAGAGAAAATGCCACAAAGAATCACCACATCCTTATAGAAAACGTTTCGGAGTGTAGTCAGTTATATGGAGTTCGTCATTTAGTATAAGCTAGCTGGTAAAGAGAACAGTGAATAGTTTTACTGTAAAGCGAAGAGTTAAAAATTTCACCGTTCCCTTGCATGCCAT